TAGGGATCCTACTATAGTTTAAGGAATATACCTTAAATCATATTAGGGATCCTACTATAATGTAAGGTATATTCCTTAATTAAGGAATATACCTTAAATCATATTAGGGATCCTATTATAATGTAAGGTATATTCCTTAATTAAGGAATATACCTTAAATCCTATTAGGGATCCTATTATAGTTTAAGGTATATTCCTTAATTAAGGGGCTTTGGAGTCTCTGGCTCGCTTTGCTTGCGGCTTTAGGGCGTCGGAGTTCTGGCTGAATGTAGTTTAGGGTTTAGGCTTGAGGGTTTAGGGTTTAGGGTTTAGGGTTGAGGGTTTAGCGGCCCGAATGTTGATAGGGTTTTGGGCCCGTTGTAGTATCTTACAACAATCAACAGTCACGAAGGAATACTATTGGTGATTATGTAAGCTTCTACAAAAACCCTAAACCCTAAACCCTAGTAGGTCTAGTGTCTGGGTTCAGAGGCCTTCGAAGTTGGAAGAGTAGGGTTAAAGGTCTGGGGCGCCTTCGGGTTTAGGGTTTAGGGTTTAGGGTTTAGGGTTTAGGGTAGGCTTTAGGGATTAGGGTTTAGGATACAGTATGGAAATGCTGGGAATTATTCAGGCCATTGTATTGGGGGCCTTGGAGTTTGGGGGTTTTCGGTTGTTTAGGGTTCAGGGTTTAGGGTTTAGGGTTTAGGGTTTAGGGTTTAGGGTTTAGGGTTTAGGGTCAGGAGCTTTGGGGCAATACAGGGGCCTTAGTAGTTCGAATAGGGTTTTGGGCTCCTGTATAGCACAATTATAATAAGGAAGCCTAACAGTAATAGTAGTAATTATCGAGGCCCCGATATTAGTGAGCGATGGGAAGCGCTGGAGGATCGGAGCGATGTTTCTTCCTCTCGTTCAGCATCTGCTGCGGCAGTTGGTACCGACCCAGACCTAGACAGAACATGAACATCGTCACCATCTGCATCGTCAGCATCGTCATTGTTCTCGTCATCGTCATCATCATCGTCATCATCATCATCATCATCACGATATCATCGTGACCTTGCAAAAAAATCGTGGTCATCTCCATCTTCATGAACAGCATTAGCATCATCGGCATCATCAGCATCAACTTCATAATCACCATCTTCTTCGTCATCGTCGACATGGTCAGCGTGATCCACTCAATCGTCGTCTTTATCATGGCATCATGCTCATGGTATAGCTTCATTTCATCTTTCCCACAGCTATGTGGTTTGGGGCTCACAACACCACCGGTCCATCTTGTTCTGGGGCATAAACTGAAAACCGGCAGGAGATTCCATCATCCTCCATAACCCTCGTGAAGCCCCTATAAACATAGAACCCATAAAAACTGTGAAACGGTGTAAACAACTAAGCAAAAAATATCGAGAACCCCAAGCAACAAATAGATCAATCGTGATAACTACTGTTATAATTTATTCTTGATAATGTTCTTATTATGACTATTGCTATCATCTTTATTCCTGTTATTGTTCTTATTGCTTCTAATCAACTCTTAAATCGTAAGGCTTCGACCCTAAACCCTAAACCCTAAACCCTACATCGTAAGGCTTCGACCTCTGCACCCTGACCCTCGCCGGGGATGTCCGTCTGAATGTCCATCTCCTTGACCTCGACACGGCCCCGCGGGAGAGTTTAGGGTTTAGGGTTGAGGGTTTAGCGTTTAGGGATTAGGGCTTAGGGGTTTAGGGTTTAGGGTTTCGGGTTTAGGTAGCGCTAGGGCTTGTAGCGTTTCTGGGAAAGCTCAAAGAAGTCCTAGAGTGTCTTAGGGTTTAGAATGTAGGTAGTGCTTGGTGCCAGGGATTTCTCGGGGTTATTTCGGTTGTTTGGCTTGTGTTTTAGGATGTTTTGGGATTCAGGAGGCTTTGGGTTTGGGGCGTCGGGTAGCAGGGCTGGAAGGTTGCAATCAGTAGTGCTTGCAGAGGCTTATAATGTAGGGGCCTCAATAAATTCCTATACGGTTTTGGGGGCTCCTGAATATAACTATAGTATAATGGGCCCCGAACCTATTCTAATTATTGAGGACTCTATACTACATAGGATATGACTGCTACCTGTCTGGGACATTGCGTGCTTTATGAGACTCGTGACGAAGCTTCTGTTATGTAAAGCACAAGATGATCGTATTGATGTGTGGCGTTTGTAGTTCTTCATCATGTTTGATGATGCCGATTAAAAACTGAAGCGATGGTCTAGACAGCTTGCAAAGGCTTTGGGGGTTTTAGCCAACCTCAACATTCCAAAACCCTAAGCCCTTAACCCTGAACCCTAAACCCTAGCCTAAACCTCAGCCAGTGCGAACCTCAACCCGGAAACCTCCTCTCTGTCTTACAGCCTCTTCTGTTCGGGAAACGCCGTGTAGTAGGAGACGCTCCGTATTAGACTGTCTTCTTGACACCCCTATGTTGAGCTTATTGTTGAGGGCTTACTTGAGGGCAGGTTGAGCAACCCCCAATCAAAAAACAAACACTGACTCTGTAAAGAACAGGGATGGGGCTTTAAGAATTCCAAGAGAGCTTCGGGAAATATGACGGCTCAAGTATAATAAAGAACCCAAAGGAACAGTAATATTTTCTTCATGCCACTAATACTACTTCATTGTTCGTGGATGCCCCCTTGATATGAGGAACTCAGTCTGTGGTGACCAAGGCATTCTCCCCTTTACCCTCAATTTCTGTAGCCAACTATGCTTGCTGAATTACATGTTTAAACTGAGGAACCCGGAAACCTAGCTTCAGTCGCTTGTCGGTGTAAGTAAAGCAAATCCCTCCAGTCTAGCTAGCACAGGAAGCCAAAATTACTATGGGGCTTCTGGGTATAGCAGACTGTACCTACATGGGTAGTTCGCTAAATTAGGATCCTCTTTCAGGCCCCCAAATTAGTACGGCACGTTTACAAAAAGGTCCCTACGAGGGACCCTAATCTGGAGAATTACACACCTATGTTAAGATCCCTGTGCACCCCTAAACCCTTGAACCCTGCATAAACCCTACATAAACCCTAAACCCTAAACCCCCAAAGCCCTTAAACCCTAAAGCCCTACAGCCCTTAAGCCCGAAAGTCTTCGTAATTGTGTACCCTTCCCTAAAACCTAAACCCTAAACCCCAAACCCTAAACCCTAAACCCTAAACCCTAAACCCTAAACCCTAAACCCTAAAGCCCTAAAGCCCTAAAGCCCTAAAGCCATAAGCCCTAAACCCCAACCCCTAGAGCCGAAATGCTCCAAACCCTAAACCCTAAGCCCTGAAGCCCTAAAGCCATAAACCCTAAAGCCAGAAGCCCTAAACCCTAAACCCTTCGGGCTGCCTCCAAGGACTGCAGCCGTCGGTTCGCCCTCTCCACCTCAAGAAGATAGTCAAGGTTTAGGGGTTCCTGTTAAGGGTTTAGGGTTAAGGGTTTAGGGTTTGGGGTTCAGGGTTCAGGGTTTAGGGTTTAGGGTTTAGGGTTTAGGGTCAAAGTTTAGGGGTTCCTTTAAAAGGGACCTATAGGGGTTCCTTTAAAGGGATCTATAAGGGTTCTATAAAAGGATCTATACAGGTTTCGTAAAGGCATCTATAAGGGTTCTATAAGGGGATATATAAGGGGGGTTGAGGGTTTAGCGTTGAGGGTGTAGGGTTTGGGGTCTAAGGTTTGGGGTTTAGGGTATAGGGCTTGGTGTGGCGTGTAGCAAATAGACCAGGTACTTGGAGGTTCATGGGTAGTTAGAAGTGAGGTTCAAACTAGGGTCACTGTAATTATAACCCATATTAGGGGACGTATAACTCCACTTATAACTACCCATGAACCCTAAACCCTAAACCCTATAGAACCCTTTAAAGGAACCCTTAAAGGAACCCCAGAACTCCACTTTATAACTACCCATGAGCCCCTCCGAGTAGGACATGAGTAGTAGTAGTAGTAGTAGTAGTAGTAGGAGTAAGCATCATAAAAAACAGCCGATGCCCACAGAAGTAGCCATCGGAATGAGCATGGCATCGAAGGACCACATATTGATCCAAGGAGCCTCTCTTCAAGGGTTTAGGGTTTAGGGTTTAGGGTTTAGGGTTCAGGGTTCAGGGTTTAGGGTTTAGGGTTCAGGGTTTAGGGTTTAGGGTTTTGGATTCAAGGAGCCTCTCTTCAAGGGTGGAGGGTGACTTGCAGATCTCGCGGGGAAGATAGCCAAAACCCCAAACCCTAAACTCCTGGCCCCTAAACCCTAAAGTTTAAAACCCTAAACCCTAAACCCCTAAACCCCAAACCCCAAACCCCAAACCCTAAACCCTAAAGTTTAAACCCTGAACCCCAAAACCCCAAAACCCCAAATCCCCAAATCCTAAACTCCTGATCCCTAAACCCCAGGCCCCAAGCCCCGTAGGGTTCAGGCTCGGGGGCTCGGGGGTTTGGCGGTTCCTTCTGGAAAAACATGGCCAGTCCAATGCCCATGCGGTGTAAACTATGCGGGTTCGGGGCTGGGGGTTTGAGTGTTTAGGGTTTAGGGTTTAGGATTCAGGGTTTAGGGTTTAGGGACATTTAGGTTTTAGGATTCAGGGTTTGGGGTTAGGGTTTAGGGCTTAGGATTCAGTGTTTGGGCGTAGGGTGCTTCCCGCGAACACAAGCACAAGCGGCAAACGCAGAAACCGGCCTTGTCTGTCTGCAGCCGGACACCCTGAGCCAGGTGAGCTTTTGTCTGTGGGTTTGGGGTTTAGGGTTTAAGGGTTTAGGGTGGAGAACCTAGAGTTTTGGGGGGCTTAGGGTCGGTGGTTTAGGGTTTAGGGTCTCGGGTTTAGTGTGGTCACCATTGAATCTCATGTGCGACGTCCCTGAGGCGACTCCGCGCGGATAAAACACTGCAATGAGGGCGCAGAATGCCGTCTGCACGCTTGAAATCATACTCTGTAGCCATGATTCTTTGGACCCTAGTTCCTAAACCCCTAAACCCCCAAACC